GAGAGAGACGAAGTAAACAAACAAGCAGGAAAATGAAACTTATCGCCGTCTTTTTTTTACCGACCTCAAAAAAAGTTATCRTGCRATTAATTGATTTATTGACTATCGCGACAGGCCTAGTAACAAAGTATTTGTACTTAGTTACTTTACAACTCTGCTTATTACTGATTAAAGAGTACTTAAAAATACCTTATAAATAACTTGAAACTTTCAGTTTGAACCAAGGCTGCACTAAACGAAAACCTGCAGATTATTAAAATTTACAATAATAAAATTATTTAAAAGCACATTTCTCAACTTTCTTCTTTTAATACATGGAGGTGGCTCAGTTTGTGGAGCTGCTGCTTCTCAGCAACAACGTTCCAGATCGTATACCAGCTAGGGACCTTTCTGGCTATAGTTCTTATGTTCTCCCTGTACATGCATGGGTTTTCTCCAGGTACTCTGGTTTCCTCCCACAGACCAAAAACCTGACTGTTAGGATCCTCTGGTGTGAATGAGAGGGTGAATGTTGTTTGTCTTTATGTGGCCCTGTGATGGACCTGCAACCTGACCAGGGTGTACACCACCCCTCACACAGTGACCCCCTACGACCCTGAAAGGAAGAAGCGAGTTTATTGGATGGGTGGACATTTTCCTCACTTCTACTTGTTCTCTCATTACAACACTCTGCATGTGCTTCAGCTGTCTGATCACTCCCATCGAAAACATTTGTGATGATTTAGGTCAGGGGTGTCCACACATTTTGTCACATGGGCCAAAATCATAAAGTCAGAGGGACTTGAGGGCCAAAAATATTTTTCCTTTACCTGCTCAACAATAAACTAAACATTGAATACTTTAATTAAACAAATAAAGTAGTCAGATTTATTGCTTGAAATGTGTGTAAATTAATCTAGATCCAGAACTTTAAAATTGTTTTGCAGGATTCCCTTATTGAATTTTTTTTTGCAATTTTCTAGGTTTCAATTGGGGAAAAAAATAACCCAATTTAGTCAATTCTGATCAATAAAATCAGGATTTAAGTCACTCTTTTGTTGAAAAGGCTTGCTGTATTCAGTCAAATTTAATAAATTAATTAAAAGCAGATTTAAGTGCAGCGAAATCAGCTTCTGAGTAGAAGTCACTAAACAGATGTGAGAAAAGCTAAGAGTCTGGTGATTTAAAGACAAATATATTGTTTTGTTGCCAATATTTTTTATTGTAAGATTTTACTTTGTGATAAATTTGCCCGAATAATAAATAGAAAGTCTCCATCTACATCAAACAGCTGTGCCAGGGGGACAAATCTGCAAACTAGGGGTGTCCCGGTATCTGGTCCGATACCAGCATCAAGTACTCATACTCGTACTCGCAAACGCCGGCCGATACTCTTAACCGATACCGCTTTTGTTCCTCCTGTGCTGCGCTGCAGCACAAAGGGTGAACAACAATCCATACCAGGCGAGGGCGCTAACGCACTGACAAGTTATTTCCGACCGCACCCCTGAATAACAGAAGAAGAACGATGACGGTAGAAAAAGAAGGAACGTCGGCAGTTTGGAAATGATCGGCACGGAGGACACCAAACCAGCAGACTGTCTGCTGTGCTCTGCTAAACTGTCAGGGGGAGAGAAAGTTGGATGTTTTAACAGCAGCAGTTTAATTCAACATTTGAGGACAAGACATGACAAAGAACTCAGAGAGTTTGCTGCTGCTAGCAGTAGCCTTCATAAACAGCACTATGC